ATTTTTTACGAATTGGTATGTTTACCACAAGTTCGGATGAATAAAGTACTGACGGAATATTTTCCGTTTCTCATTAATATATAATAAAATAATTTTAACAAATTTAAATGTAAGTTTGTTTGTCGAATTACTCGGTAATGTCGTATCTATCGCTGAGGTCCTTTAATAAGTTCTGTTACGTACAACAGTTAGGTAAATAGAGCTCTAAGTATGAAATAGGTTGATAATATCTTAACAAGAATCGATGTCGGCAATAATGTAGAAATATACGAGGGAAAGTTGAAATCAGCTCGGCTCTATAATTACTATTTCGTAGAGATAATAATACTTCGTTATCAATATAACCAACACACAATAATATATAGATTGCATGTACAATGTTATTTTGTTTTAAATGCTTACTACAAATAACGTACGAGGCTTTTCCCGTTTCTCATTCAATAACCTACATATACTTTAAGTCAGTGGTGGCCTAGAAGTTAAAGGCCCGGGTTCGATCCTGGCAAGTAGCAATGTGAATTTTCCGAGTCATATGTACTTTTTAAAAGTATTTAGACATCACTGATTAATGCATTCCCAAAGAGGGATGATGTCAGGCAGGCGGCCGGTCGTAAAAACAAATAGCCAAAACTATTCACAACATGTAAGACAGACCCTGGCTAAAGCTGGGAAATTGCCAGGTAGAAGAAGACTGTAAGGTGCGAAGTTTTTTGAGTGTAAAACTACTATCGTTCCGTAGGTAGTTGGACGATAGGTACTGAGAGTAAGCATATTAGGTACAATGTCGAACGTTATTCACATTATAATATGAACATAGTATATAATGATAATTGATATTGTAAATAAACATTGTCTGTATATCTAATATATATATTTGGCTACTTTATCAGGATATGACAAATATTGAGTGCATGTCTGTTTGTGTGCGATAAACTCGTGAACGGCTGGACATATGTGTGCAGTTTTCAAAGATTTTATATATATAATAAGTATATATGTTATAATAGTTTCTAGGAATCATAGTTACTCGTTCTCCGTACCGTCAGCTATTAGTTGAGGACATCAGATAATAAAACTGTTATTATTTATGTATATACTAGTTTTTGCCCGTAACTTCGCCTGCATGAACATGAGTTGTGTATAGAGAGAAATGTTTAAGGCGTGTTAAAACAAAACATAAGTTTTAAATAACTTTGTTACCTACTGCAGCGTCAAACACCCAACTGATTTGCGAATCTCAACTCTATGCCATCTACGACAACAAAAATGCATACAAAAAAATATTAGTTCGGTCCACTCGTTTATGAGCTCAATGACACATAGGTACAGTATCATTATAAATATATAAAGAAGATACAGTTCTCGTAATAAAATCGGACTGTTTTGCAGACAGAGCCGCGTGTAACAACTAGTTTGTGGTTTGATAACAGAATAACAACAATAAAACGGAAAAAAAATTAGAAAAACCAAGCATTTGAAACGAAGTTTTTTATTAGCTATGGAATATAAAAACGATAATTAATTTTTTCTTAATAATTTAGGAATCTACTACGTACATAATACATATATAGATTTTTCTAGAATACTAAAAAGGCTATATGTGAGTGAGTCAGTGTTACACAATCACGCAAAAACTGTTCATAAATTAGTTTGATCTAATTAAATCTAGTATAAGTATATAATTATTTATTATAATGCAAAAAAACGAGCGAAACCACGAGTAAGACGTTGTATCGTTAGAAACAATGTAATTAATAATTATCATTTAAATATGTATATAATGATATCTAAGATTTTCTCATGTATACATTTGAATAAAACCAAGTTTTCCGGATACTTTGACGTACAATCAGGGAAGACGAATAGGCTTCATCTATACTGCAGTGGTTCCCAACCTTTTCTTGATCAGGGATAATTTTATGTTCTTTGTTGTTCGCATTGCACCACGATGTGTAAGAAAAATAAAGCGAATAAAAAAGACAATAAACTTTAATAAAAAACTTAACGTATTTTGTATCAACAAAAATTGAATTCGCTCGCGAACCACTTTTTGAATCCCGCGGATCTGGGGTTGAGAACCACTTGTCTATAGGCTATAAAATAACCGAAACGTCGGGAGATGCAAAACGCGTAGTAACAAAAAACTTATATATATGTTTAATTCAAACAACACTATTGGTTATATAATCCTCCTACCCGAATATAAAATCCTTCCAGATCGCGTACACGTGAGGCAGCAGCTCCAATTTATTGACGACGTCCTTTGGCTTAAAATCAGTCTTTATCATATCGGTAAATCAACTCAAACAACAAGAAAACACTGAAGTAGCGAACGCACTAGAAATTCGCATTTAAAAGATAAAACAGTCCACTAATCAACCGATAATAGATTTAAAAACAAAAAGATTAATAAAATGTAGATAAGATGGCGGCAACATTAGGAAACCTTTAGTTACACAAACTGAGAATAACAGAGCGATGAATTGAACCGACTCTAGCTGAACAAAGGCTAACACGAGTCGTTAGACGCGCCTTGAAACATACAATTAATAGCTTACCTCCGATATACTTGAGGAATTAAAATTATAATTTATAAATACTGACTTCGTTTCATCTTTATTAGTCCGAGTTTTCATAGACACTACATACGTAGCGTCTGCAATTTCTTATTCAATAGCCGACGTTAAAACTTTGTGTAATTAGTAAACTCTCCGCTGTAATTGCATCGATGATATTTTTGTTACTCTCAGTACAGTACTTTCACTAATCTTTACGAGTTGTTCTGCCTCAAAGTGCTATCTTATTATTTGTTTGTTACCTACGAGGATATAATCTTAATTAAGTTATGATACTATAAATGTATGAACGTGTAATCTTCATTATTTTCTTTGTTAGTATCTTCTTACTAACATTATGATATTTGAAAATTTTGTAAGCGTGTGACCGCGGCTTTTCACGAGCCAGTTGAGCAGTTAGTGGATAATCTAATGTTGAACACAAACGCTTTTTCATGTTAATAATATTAGGGGAGTCGAGTGCTTATTACATAAATATTTGTCAAGTCAAGGTCAACTATGTGTACAACGCAAAACAATTTTTGTCATTGTTCACATTTCAAGCAATATTATGCTTTGTTTTTAATCCGTGTCAAATCTGCACAACGTATTCTGCCAATGTTTTTAAAAATTGAAAATAATAAAAAAAGGGGTAAAATTAATATAAATATAGTTTTATTTAGCTTTAAGAATAATATTTAAAACGCTAGATTGCCTAAATTGATCGCAGTTTATATAATAAGAATATAATTTACGTCATCTAAGTCGTCAGCCATATTGGCGCCATTCGACAACTAACGTACTTGCAAATGACAAGTCAAATAAATGGAATATGGACGCCAAATATGAAACAAACAATTGATGAGGATCTCGTGACCGTTGAAATTACATTTCATTTATTAGATACATGTAATAACACTGTTAGTTTGTCATCAAATGAAATTAAATACAAATGAAAAATGTTATTCAGAAATGAAATAAATTATTGAAAATCATTAAAGGATAATCTCGTGGTATTATACATACAATATTGAATTGGCCAACTTTTATTTCAAAACTGTTTCGATAGGACGCCTTTGGGTTTCGGCAGTAATTTTTGTTAGTTTATTTGAAGTCTGAACAAAAATATTCAGAAGAAAAGAAAATAGTTTGACGACAACAAATTGAAATTGAAATAATTAGAATATAAAGATTAAGGTGTCTTAATATTGAGTTTGATTGTAGATACACAGGGGCCATAACAAATAAAGATCGAAATTAAAACAACATTTGTTTAATATAGACAAAATATATGTATAGCATTGTGTGATATTGTAATCAATATTTATAAATTATCCAATTAAATAATCAACAATAGGTATGATTATATGAATCAATTTTATATAATTATCTAATATTTGATGGCCTTCATGAAGATTTGTTGACCAGTTTGGGTATTGTAATTATATTATTTGCTGAATATATCTTCTATATATATAAAAATGGATTGCTGTTCCTTAGTCTCGCTAAAACTCGAGAACAGCTGAACGGATTTATCTTATCTTAGTCTTGAAATGTTTGTGGAGGTTCAGGGAAGGTATAAAAGCTGAAAAAAATTGATTCATTACTGGGAAAACCATAAAAACAGCCTTTTTCTATTTCCCATACAAACATTTTTTTTGACATTAGATTTGACAACTAACTAAAATGTCAATGATTCTGTCGCACTTCAAAACACAGAGATTTATGGCTTACAGGTAAACTCCAAAAATATAAATAAAAAAACTTAATAGATATTTCTTGATTATAGGGTGATACGAAGTTCGCCAGGTCTTCTAGTATAAAATAAAATAATTATAAATACATAATATTTTATGCTCCCATATAAACAAGTAATGAGTTAATTAAAATGAAGCAATGTATGTACATATATAAATGTATATTTTATTTATTGGGCTGCATACTTCCATTTTTCATTATGTATTAAGTGAACTGATCAACATTTTAATGGATATTATTTATTAATACTTCAACAAATCTTTAGTTATATAATCCATATAAGTAACATAAGTTACTTTTGTCCATATTAGAATAAAATTAATGCTTGATATGTAGGTATATTTTATATTTTATTTAGACTTGGTAAGTGTAAACTGTATATTTAGTATCAATAATCTATCTGATGTCTGTTTACTATAAAACTTGGAAGAATCATTATTTTGGCAATAATGGAGTTTTATTAATGAGAAATTTCAATGTTCTACTTTAAAAACTTATTAAGCTTGCTATTTTCTTATTATCTAAATAATTGAATAGTCAATATATATTTTGAGAATTATTTAAGTTTAAAAATAATTCAGGAAATGACTGATTATTATACTTTCAGATAAAATATGTATTTAAAATATATAGTACGATTTCTTTTAATGATGTATGAGTTATGTAATGAATAGTTATGTTACTTACTTATTCTCCTGTAGTGTGGCCGTTGCGTTGTTGACCACTCCGGAAAAACTGAGAGCCTGACTGATGCTCTGTCCGATGGCATCTTGTGATGATATCACTAGATTCTCCACGGACTTTCTCCTATGTATTAAATTAGAATATCCATTATTTTTCATTACTCAAATATTTTAAATGCTTGATATATATCATATGTATGCACCTCGTCCACTAAAACTATAAACTTTAATATTTGCAACATACATTTATTAACTGGATTTACTTCATTACTGTGAGAACGAACGCGATAATAACCATTGGGAAATTAACTGCCGCATTCGACGTACGAGTACATTCAATTATAAACAGTAATTAATCAATAGTTCTCAAGATTTTATGTTTTAGTGCACTTTATAAATATTTTATATCTAAAATTCACAACAATCCCAGATTATGGTGCACGTAAAATGAACAATATTTATAAATAAGAATGTATCTTTGTTTTTATTAATTAATATTTGATATGGTTTGCGTATTAAGAATGACCGTATTTTTATTGATAAACAACGTTTGACAAAAACAGGGCACGGACTTGGATAGAGGTGATCAATAATAGTTACAATGATGTCTGATGATATTCTAAGCAGATACGTAATGAGAAACAACAGAACTATTACTAACATGGAAACAGCGATGTTACGGTTCTCCAATTCCGTTTTCCAAGTGGTCATATTATGTTCAGAAGTTCAGGTCGCGTGGCTTTCGTCCATTCACGAAATATCATCAGCAACTACGTTTTTTAACTTTCATTATCCAAACACAGATTTTTACAACAAAAACACAATAAGTCAATCGACAATCATTCACATTGATTCGCGGTTGCTCACTGACGTTTTACGAGTGTTAACTGTTGTCTGTTACTTACTCTTATAATACTGATAACAATATTTAGTATATATGAAATGGAAATTCATAATTATGAATCGAATTCAGTGAAGTTATTAATTGAAGAAACACATTTGTATGATAAAAGCAGATTATATTTTTTCGGTGCCAAGTTTAAAAAGACAGGACAGAAATCGTGATTATATAAAAAATAAAATAATTTTTTAACTGATATAACTTTCACTTTTCTTTGTTAATAACATAAAGAAATAGTTTAAATTTTATGTGGTTATGGAAATCTTGGCTTTACTGAGAAAGTCTGACAAAATTTAATACTTTTAGTTTTTAAAAACTGATATTTGAAATATTGCTTGTAAGGTGTATTGATAAAATAAATTTCACTGATCAAATTATACCAAATTTATAGAAAAATCTAATAATAATATAACTCAATAATACTAATAGTTTCTAAGTTTAAAGATACCATAAGGTTTTATAGAATAATGTTATTTTAGGCGTTTCAGTATAGTGTTTCTGATAAAATTGAACGCAGTATTGTATTTTACATGACATCGATAAACCATCATTTGTCAAAAGTGGATGTCAATATTTGTCAACAAAGTCAATGTAAGAAACACGTGAATAACATATGAAAATATCGTTAAGTATAGTTACTTTAAATCAGTAATTATGGCCGATGAGGCCATTTTCGATAAAAAGAAGTCACACCGTGCGAAACATGCCGGCAGAAAAGCAGAGAAGAAGAAAAAGAAAAATCAAATAGATCAGTCTAACCTAAGTGCGCGGCAGAGAAATCCAAAAGCCTTCGCTATTAATTCAGCTGTACGCGCTGAGAGACAGTTTAGGCGTCGCGAAGATGTTATATCTAAGAAGCAACACATACCACAAGTGGATAAAACACCTCTGGAGCCTCCACCTATCGTCGTCGCTGTAGTCGGGCCTCCGCGAGTCGGAAAAACTACAGTCATCAATAACCTTATTAAAAGTTTTGTCAAAACAAATGTAACCAGTACCAACGGTCCCATAACGATAGTTACGTCTAAGAAAAGGCGTCTCACGTTAATAGAATGTAACAACGATGTAAATTCAATGATAGATATCGCCAAGTGTGCTGATCTCGTCCTGTTGCTGTGTGACGCGAGCTTCGGGTTTGAGATGGAGATATTCGAATTCCTGAATATATGCCAGGTACACGGCATGCCAAAGATTATGGGTGTGTTAACACATTTGGACATGATAAAGAATGCCAAGAAGTTAAAGATGACCAAGAAAACATTGAAGCATCGGTTCTGGACCGAAGTATATCCTGGTGCCAAGTTATTTTATCTATCTGGTATTATTCATGGAGAGTACTTGAGAAATGAAATAAAGAATTTGTCCAGATTCATATCTGTTATGAAATTCAGGCCTCTGAGCTGGCGTATGACTCATGCTTATATATTGGCTGATAGATTAGAAGATATAACAAGTCAGGATAGCATCAGGAAGGATCCAAAAATAAATAGAGATGTGGTCTTATATGGATATGTAAGAGGTGTCCCTCTCATGAAGGATTCAATGGTCCATTTAGCAGGTACAGATACTATTACATAACAGAGTTGTATATTTTCAAATTAAGCTAAATGTTGTATTTAAATGTAGCTATAATAATCTTTGTAGGTGTTGTTAGTTATTCACATATTCTCTATCAACCTTTTGTTAAAAAAAAGCCCATTTGTGAGTAGCAGTGGAAAAAAAATAATAAAACATATGTATTTATTTAATTCCAGGTGTTGGTGATATGAAGATCAGTGAACTGTCATACTTACCAGACCCTTGTCCTTTACCCAGCAGTGAGAAAAAAAGACATTTGATGGAGAGGGAAAGACAAATCTATGCTCCCTTCTCTGGGGTGGGAGGAATTGTCTATGACAAGGACGCAGTGTATATTGAACTCAAAGGATCTCACTCACATAAGCAAGAAGATGAGGAAACAAATGAGAAGCAAGCCTTACTTAAGAGTGTTGTGGAGACAAAGGAAACTGTTGACGAGCAAATGCAAGAATCTGGCTTCAGACTATTCAGTGGAGGAACTGTCATATATCCAGACATGGTGAAAGATGATAAAGACTTGACAAATAGAGAATCTCAGAATAATGAGTCCAGCTCCGAGGAATCTGATTCTGGAGATGAAAATGATTCTGACAATGACAGTGGCATAGATCAGAGTGAGAAAGATACTACCGGGAAGAGTTCTAAGTTACCTTGGGATAATAACTCAGAATCTGAAGAAGATGACGAAGATGATGGTAACAATGAAGCAATTGACCAAGTGGATGAACTGTACAGGCATGAAGATGATTCTGATAACGAAATGGATGAAGAACATAAAAGTTCTGATGCAGAAGACTTCAGCATTAAGTGGAAGGAAAAATTAGGTGAAAAAGCATCGCTGGCGTATTTTGAAAGGCAAAAGACATCAAAAAATATCATGAAACTTGTCTACGGGGAATTTGAAATAGGAAATAAGAGAAAAGCAGAAGATGAAGATGAGAATCGTGATGAGGAGAGTGACGAAGAAGAAATTGGAGGTCTCTTCAAGAAAGTTACGAGTTCACAGAAAAAGAAGCAGGCGGACAAGGAACAGTTGGATCTCGAGGAATGTTCTTATTTCTACAACAGAGATAAACCAAACTTAAGAGATTGGACGATTGAAGAAAATAAAAAACTGATTATTAATTGTTTTGTGACTGGAAAGAGAAGCGCCGACGAGGACGCCGAGGAACTTCTAAAATTAGACGACGCGAGTGACGGAGAGGATGAAGTCTATGGAGACTTTGAAGATCTAGAGACTGGTGAAAAACATACTAGTAAACAACAACCGGAAGATAACACGGAAGAAGTCGGCTCCAAACGGAAAGCTGAACCGACGAAATCGGATATATTAGACAAAAAATTAAAATTAAAAGCTAAGTTTGATGCCGAGTATGACAACCCAGACGACCACAGAATAAAGGGAGACCATTCTTATTATGAAAGTTTAAAAGCTGAAGCGCTCAAGCAGTCGGAACTAAACAAGTCAGTTTTCGAAAATTTAGACAACGGTTTGAGAGTCGAAGTCGAAGGTTTCCGACCCGGTCTTTACGTTCGTATGTTGTTCAAGAACATGCCATCGGAGTTCGTCACGAACTTTGACTCCAGTTATCCTCTCCTCATAGGCGCTTTAAATATGGCCGAGCAAAACATCGGCTTCGTCTCGTGTAAGGTTAAAAAACATAGATGGTACAAAAAGATATTGAAAACCAACGATCCTTTGATTATTTCCTTGGGATGGAGGCGGTTCCAGACGTTGCCGATATATTCCAAAATAGAAGATGATTTAAAATGCAGGTATTTGAAATATACTCCGGAACACGTCACATGTAACATGCACTTCTACGGCCCCATAACGCCACAGAACACAGGGTTTCTAGCATTACAGACGGTTAATAACAACTCAAATGAAATCAAACAGCTAGGGTTCAGAATCGCCGCCACCGGCAGCGTCAATGAGATAAACAAGTCGACTCAGATCATGAAGAAACTCAAACTAGTAGGGACGCCTTTAAAAATTTACAAGAAGACTGCCTTCATCAAGGACATGTTCACGAGTACACTGGAAGTCGCGAAATTTGAGGGAGCGAAAGTTAAAACGGTGTCCGGAATCAGAGGACAAATAAAAAAAGCACTCAACAAACCCGAAGGTGCGTTCCGAGCGACGTTCGAGGACAAGATCCTTATGAGCGACGTGATCTTCTGCAGGACATGGTTCAAAGTAGACGTATCAAAGTTCTATGCACCCGTCGTCAATCTTCTTCTTCCCATCGGAGCGAAGAACGCCTGGCAGGGCATGAAGACGAAGGGTCAGTTGAAGAGAGAACGGAACATAAAGGCCGAAGCGAATAAGGATTCCATGTACACCGAGATTGTGAGAGAACCGAAAGTGTTCAAGCCACTAGTTATACCCAAGGAACTACAAAAAGGTTTGCCTTACAAGTTAAAACCCAAGGAGAAGACGACCACGCTTACCAACAAAAACATTAAAGAGAAACTGTCCAACAGAGTCGCGGTTATAAAGAGCCCGCACGAACAGAAAGTATCGAATGTTATGAAGATGTTGAAGACCAACTTCGAAAAGAAGAAGGAAGTGCAGAAAGCGTCGACCGCCGAGAGGCTGAAGAAGTTCAAGAAACAGCAAGAGGAAGAGGAATGGAGGAAGATCAAGAGGCAGAAGGAACTCAAGAAGAAAATCTGCAGGCATCTGAGTAAAATATCCAACAAGAAACAGACACAGATGTGACACTTTCAATAAAACAATAGTCCAATGTTAATAGTATTTCATTTATTTCTTATCATATCTAACCGTGAAGCGGAGGCGTCAAATAAAACACAACACTAGTATCGTGTAAATTGTATTTACCTCTGATGCATAACATACTCGGCTCGATTTTACAAACATTACATTTCGATTACATTGGTCAAAATAATCTCAGCAAACATCGACGATCCGTTTCCACTTCCGCCGGGCGACGGACACTCGCGGTTAGGAAACAAGTTAGTATCGAAAGGGAGGTTACATTTTGATTAACACTTATATAGAGCCGGCCCGGCGCCCGGCGCCTGGAATGTGACCGCCGCAGGACCGAATGCTAGCGGTACGGGTGTAAGTAAATACTCTTCACTATACTAAGCTATTTAACACATATGCAAAATTATATACATTCGACAATTTTCACTAGATCCCTATGTTACATTAATTCCTTATCGTGAAGGTAACTTTACTCTTTGGTAGCGACGGCCGGTCGGAGGTCGAGGGTCGCTGGTCGCCTCGCGTGTGAGGAATGGCCGCGGAGTTGGCACTTGAGGAGTTTCGGATGTCGACCTGGAGCAGGCAGCTCCTGGGGGCAGGGCCAGTCCTCAGAGGACACTATAGTACGAGGAATCGTGTCTCCCGAAGACGTGGAGCAGCATGTTACCACCCTCCACTCACAGCACGGCCGTCCGCCTCATACATACATTCATACACATCGTAATCGAATGAGAAGTCGCAGGTTCCGAGGCGATAATACTGTTACTGATACAATATATACAGGCGAGTGCGCGACCCTCGACCTTCGAGCTCGGCGGTCGGCGGCGTCGCTTAGTGTAGTCAATAAATAAATAAGCATCGAATCGATATAATTCTAGTAACGTATCGTTTGAACACATCCTAGCTAAATATTGCTACATTTCATACCTACTCCGATATAAACGCTATATAAACCATATTTACACCCTATTAGACACTAATTAAAAAATTCCGTCAAATCAGAATCGGTCGCTATACAATCATACAGTTAGTGTCCGCTGCCGGCTCGTGAGACGCAACAACGGGCTGCACCGGTTACAGGAATACTTGGACCGGACACCGGCCACACGGCGCAAGCTCAATAATGTAAACGCTTTAACAAAATATACCATAGCTAGTCAGTTACCGGTACCATAGAATAGAAGAATACAAAACGACGTAGTAACACTGTACAACACTAGTACGAGCACCCGGCCCGCCCTCGCACCGACGAGATGAAATGCAATACATAGTGACACGACACGGCTTACGGTTAGGTGAGGTCGGGCGGGACAGGTTAGCCTTTAAATAAGTTACAGAAATTCCTCGCCCGGAGTCATACGCCTTACAGTTCAATAATAAATACGGAATACACGTTATATTAAGTACATCGTTAAAACTACCCTCGGCCTCGCGATCGACGCGGCGACACGCGCTCACCGGCCTCGTCGTGACTAGAAAATGTTTTGTGATCACATCGTCCTGTGGGAACATCGGTCGTGAGCGTTCCGTGGGCGTGTCGCCGCCTCGACGAACCGATCCGAACACTTCTCTAGGGTGAATAGGAATGTTCCGCCAGTCGGGGGGTGCGGAGGGGTGCGCACCCCCTAGTTGAGGGTGGTGTGTCAGGAGGCCGGCGCGTGGTCGTGAGGCGCGCGCGTGCGCTCCGTGCCCGTACTCAGCAGGTTGTTGAACTCCATCTCGAGGATCTGGCGCGCCTGGAACACGACATACAGCATGACCTCCGATACGAAAAAAGAAGTCTAAGCTATACTCCAGCCACATTCGATTTGGAATTCTAGTAAACAAACCATGAGTCATCATAATTAGGGTTGATACACTCTTAATAAAAAATAATTATTATTATAATTACAACTATATTCATTATAACACAATTTCCTGTTAAAACACAAAAATTTTAATTTACTTAATATAGAATCCAAAAATTTTATTTAGCCGGTCACTAGATAATTTATATGAAAATTAGCTTAAAATAAAAGTTTAAAAATCTTTAATTACCACTATAATATTACTACAAAACTAACAACTTGATTCTGGTGTTCTTCCGTTCTGTTCTTAATTGTTAGATTTATTTATCGTTTTTTTGTTTTAATTCGTTATTGTTATAAATTTGTTGTTATCAAATATTGTTTATATTAGATTACGATGAGTAATACTGAATAACCTGCTCCGAGTGGGATTGGATCTGTAGCGAAATTTAAATATACACAAAATTTAATTTAAATGAGTCCTGTCGTTTGGGAGGCGATGGATAAAGTTAATAAAGTGAATTATATAACTACGAGGTAATTTCTGATATCATTTTAAAATGGGAGGTATTATTTTTGAGATCTACATTATTTCAGATGATCATAAGCATCTATTATAATTATAACCAAGAATGCGCTTAGTCCTTTGTATTAAATATTTTATTATTAATCATAAATTTTAATTTTCATTAACATTTAAAGTAAATGTTGCACATATTTCTAAAAATATTTTGAGCAACCACCTGACGTTGGTTGCTAAATGCTAAGCAATGCTTTGTTATTAAACATTCCACATCGAATTTGGCTGGAGTATAGAGAGATTACGAATACTTAACAGTGTTATCTGACTGATCCTGTACCTACTTTGAACTTAGCATATTGTAATACTCGGTTTACGTTATATTATAGCCTGTGTGTTATTTACCTGCGTGTTCTGTGTCGGTATCTGTAACGCCAGCGCCATACTGTTCGCGTCGAAGTTGTCGTCGAGCGCTATCAGCGCGCCGTGCACTCCCGACTCCGACAGATTGTTTGCGTACTCCTGTAACATATAGACAGATGGCAGGTTTATTATAATAAAGAGCTTTACGTAAATCTGCACGTTGTATTCCTCCAAGAGTACGAAACATTATTTACAATACTTTAGTAAAACCAGTATTAGAACACCTTATAGAAATATGGGGCAACGAGGTTAAAACACATAAAAAATTTGCAGATCTCTCAAAATAAACTTATCAAGGTCTTATTTCATATGGATTATTATACACCAACTAAAGATGTATATAAAACAACTATATCTAATTTTATTCGAAAAATATTAACAAACCTTACTCATTCTTACATTACATTACATTACATTCATTCTTCATTCTTACATTACATCACTAAATTACCTTTAAAACTAAAACCCATTCTTACCACACTAGGAACAGATATAACCTAGAAACACCTAAAACTCGAACCAAGTACGGCATTAAAACTATTTCATTTGAAGGAGCACAGCTGTATTACTTTTTGCCTCTAAATGTTGTCAATTCAAAATCTCTAAATATATTTAAAAAACGATTAAAAACCCATATATTAGATGATTACACTGATCTTGTTTAATATCATTACTGTTTATTATTTGTAATCTTGATTGTAGTTATAGTTTTTAAAATTTCCTTTGTAAGCGAACTTTGTTCTTTTTGGAAATAAACTTCTTTAAACCTAATAAACGATTAAGAACCCATATATTAGATGATTTCACTGATATAATATCACTACTGTTTATTATTTGTGATTTTAATTGTAGTTATAATTTTTAAAATTTCCTTTGTAAGCGAACTTTGTTCTTTTTGGAAACTTCTTTAAACCTAATAAATGATGTTGTTGGGTCACCTTCAAGTTGATGGACATCAGCCACCTCTGCAGCCGCTCGTTGGTCCACACCAGCACGTCCCGAAGCCCTATCTCCGCGGCCCGGCGACGCTCCTCCAGCGCCCTCACGGAGTACCCGACACGCTTCAGACACGCCACGCCGAAGTGAAGCGAAGTTCTAGAATAGAGAGGAATATCATTTTTATTATATAATAATAATAAACTTTTATTGGATAAAAGATGACACCACTACAAAACAAACAACGAAATAAAAATCAATAAAAATAACGATAAGTGTGCAGCAGTGTAATCTAACCAAAAGGAGAACCACTCTGAAAAATAGAAGCAATGTTGCTTCTACACTGATTTTCAGTGATTTCCTAATTTTGCAACACTGACAGCGGTTGCAAGTAGTTGATCTTGATTACGATTGCTTTTAAAAATTTAAAATTGTTGTTAATTTTGCCAAAACCATATTATTTATATTATTAGAATCAGTAATTTTTGAAAAATTGATTCGTGAAAGTGTTTAGTGAGGATTATATGAGGAAATACTAAAAATATCAGCACAATCAGCTGCTTCATATACCCACATATCTTCCTGCCAGTTCCACCGAGCCTGCATCGTCAATTCGAATCCCGAAAAATAAAAATTTGTATTAGTTTGTTCTATCCCTTAATTATATTTTTGTACCTGTGGAAGCTGTCGACCATCTTGAGCTGCGTGCGCAAGTCCCTCTTGGTGAGGTGCTCCAGCATGCGCGCGTCCACCAGGCACTCCATGAACGTGGTCCGGTACTGTGGCAGGCCCAGCGACGGCAGCCAGGAATTGCCGATCCATTCATGGTTCATGTCCCCGAAGGCCAGCGCTGCGCAGGCGGTGCCGCGCGGCGCTGAGGGCGAGGTCAATGACACCATCTCCTGTATGGCTAGGCGCAGTTTGAGCCGATGCAGAGGATTGCTGATGCCGATTTCCCGTTGTATCTCCTGATCGGACAGCGCGGACATGATAGCACCGGATTTGACGTTTGCGCGGCAGGCGGCCACGTACCAGGCAGGCATGCCAACCCATAGCTCCAGCCACGCGACTACTGTGGGACCGTTCCATAGCGCGAAGGGAGTCCCCGCTCGCATAGCCTCGCCGAGCAGCTCGTGACGGTAGTCGCGCTCCCTGTTATAAATGAGAATTATCGTATAAAAGGAAAATTGTTTGTTGATACTATGTAGTTACTTGTGAAGGGTGCTTTGTGTATCTATTGGAGCAGTACACAATAATACAGTCAATATATAATATGTATAAAATATAATAAGCATAATATGAATGTTCACTACGTTTATTTAGATAATCTAAGGTTTCTGCGATTATATAGGTTTCAAATTTCAATGCTTTTCTAATATATTTAATTGATATTTAACTTAGTACATCTTCAAGAATAAAGATACTAAAAGATGTACAGTACTAATTGTTGTCGATAGGCATTCGGATAATCGAATGTATGAAGAAAAGCCGGTTTTGTGCATATGTAGTATTTAGTTTATTAAAAAAAAGTACATGTATGTACTAAAAACTGCAGATTTTAATCATTAAATAAAATAATAAGTTTAATTTGGTTTAGAATATTTGGTAATGGTCATTTGACTTACGCAACTCTCAACAACACTGCTCTCTTACGCTTTACATTCCTTTCTTGTCCGGACTTGTCCGTAGTCCGGATAATCGCGAATCCGTATAACTGAGGGATAATCGAGTTTCTACTGTACTATAGTACTACTAAGGTTGTAGTGTTCATACTTAGTTTTAGTTCTGGCGTAGTCCGGATGCTGGTGTGTGGGAGCGTGCGAGGGTTCCCCTTCATCAGCCAGCGACGACAGACCTAAAGACGAGGCCGACGACAACGAACGAGGACTCTGACCTTGCTGCATCTGGCGAACATAATATATATTAATAATAATTAGTATAGAAAAGGCCCTGGAAAGACTATTTCAAACTCAAACTCAAAAAACTTTATTCAATATAGAAGCATTACACTTCCTTATTGATGGTCACTTGAGACACTACCACCGGTTCGGAAAATACCCTGACCTGAGAACAACCAGCGAAAGAAACTCAGCGGGTTATATATATATATATGTGTCTCATCTATTATATACACAATTTAATATGAGAGAATTTAGTTATTATTATGTAATTATTTATTATTATTGTTTTTTAATTTACATTTTGATTTATTACAATTATTATATGTATTTTGCATGATGTGATAGCCTATAATTAAAAGGACATTTAAGTTATTATTGATATTAATGTAATGAATGTAATAATGTTTTCTTTTGGTGGCTATCCAAATAAAATAAATTCTCACAAATAGTAACCGGTATCGTCATTTAGAGAGACGCTATGTTTTCAATATAGAACTTTACGCTATAGACTAGTTTCTTTTATTGCCTCATCATTGAACTCACACTCTTTTACAATACAAATCGTTCCTAATCAATGTATACTCACCGGCATGCCAGCTTTCTCCTTCTTACTAAAGAACCGTCCCAGCGAGCTCTTGATGCCTCTCTTCTTCTGTTGGTGCATCGATGCTATAGACACGGCTGATGCTGAGGCCACTCCTCGCGGCAGAGGAGAACCTCCCCACGCACCCGCACCTAAAGATTCTTGGCTCGAGCTGGTGGGTAAAGAAAAATATTAGATTTTTATTTATTTAAAGAAAACAATAAAAAAGAAAGAAACCTTCAATCACAATACATAAAGGTATTATATATAAAACAAGTCTACTGTCCCTGAGCTAGGTATAAACCTGTATTTCAGGCGACAGTACTCTCCTGTTGCTCTATATAACTAGTATAGTAAGATAGAGTTAGTAGTATGTGTAAAATTGAGCTTGAGTATATTTGAGATGTTTGTGTGTGTGTGTGAGCGTGTGTGTATGAAATATTAGACTTTGTGCCAAAGAAAATATTTTCGGTCCTAGCATCAGGCTCATGAACATACCGAAGTGGCTCTGATTATAATGTTGATTTGTTTTTGTCAAATGAAACTGAAATGATAGATATAGCGTTAAAATGGAATTACTACGGATCCGACTCACTAGCGACTATCACACGCGACACAAATAAATCAACGTACCGTATGTTTGGAAAACACGAGACACATCGTCACGATACAAATAAAAAACCCTTAGTAATTCCATTCTTCACTGTATAAATATGTTTTATTAATCATAATAACATTTACATTACAAGAAATTATATTACAATATACAGGGTGACTGGTGAGTTACTATCAATATTTAAGGAGCATACTCGGTACATGATTCTCATTCGAATTATGTAAAAAAAATAGGTACTTAATTTTTGACCAAATTTCCGTATAAATAAATAAAGTTTGGATACGTACTCATCCTTGCCGGCGCCAGTGTGTCGCTACTCCCCAACCCCCGCCCCGTGGCTAGCGGGCCATTAGTCGGCTATTAGTCGCGCGAGGTCCGCCGTAAGGTCCGTACGTTCGTCTTCCCGCGCGCGCGCCTAGCGATCGATCTTACGCGTATACCTAATAATAATCTGTCGTGTGTGCGTGTGACCCGTTATTACTTATTAGTAATTAAATATGGCTTTTCAATACACAAATGCAGAATACTTGGACATGGTTTATGCGTATGCGCGTGTAAATGAAAGCTTGCGGGGCGCAATCAATTTGTACCGGGAGATGTTCCCCAATCGTCGAGTACCTACGGCCAGCGTCATCTTAAACGCTAATCAAAGATTACGAGACTTCGGACAGTTCCGTGTTCCAACACATGCCCAAGGAAACGTCTTGTGTATGCTACAGAGTATGTAAACAGAGAGGAGTTGAAATTAAAAATCAATAGTGATTTCAAAACTATTAAAAGTGACCCATTCGTATTAAATCGTGTGAAAGACAATATGTGTAAAAGTGCCGAACTGTGTATCACACGAGAAGGAGCTCGCTTTGAACATTTGTTAAGGTTAGTGTAGTTATGTAGGTAAATAGGTAGTTTAATGATTGACAATTGTTGTAAATAAGTATGATTCCATTTTTAAATACGCCGGAAATACCAAGATAGGTAAACAGTTCATATTATTTTTTGTGTCAAGGTCACACCATTTACCTAGTCAATAAATTGGTTGCTTAAACGAAAGAAATATCTTGGTATTTTTGCCTGTCCTAAGCCAGGATTAAAGTATGAAGGGAAATGGATCATTTTTGTTTATCTAAGGTCTAACACGCGGCGGCGCGCTGCGTTTGGATGTAGGTAAACTACCGCGCGATAACTACATATACCTACGTACATAACTGTTTTGTGTCGATAACGCAGCTAGGGTATCCACGCGATCCGTCCTGGCGGAATGTCAATACGGCTTCCGCAGTAGACGGTCCACAATCGACGCGGTGAGTCACCTCAAGAGGTGGACTGAGGCGGCTTTTGACAGGAGGGAGGTGGTGATCGCGGTGTCACTGGACATCGCGAACGCGTTTAACACCATCCCCCACGAGTGTATCTACTACCTGCAGGACAGGATGGTCCTCTACGAAAACGCGGAGGGCCGCGTCGAGTCATGGAGGGTGGCGGCAGGAGTACCTCAGGGTTCCGTATTAGGTCCTCTATTATGGAATCTGGGGTACAACTGGGTGTTGCGAGGCTTAAAGCCGCCGCGCATGGATGTCATCTGCTTTGCAGATGACACGCTAATCACGGCGGCAGCGAAGAGTTGGGACGAAGTGATCCGCCGCGCGTCATTCAACACCTCCTTGATCGTGCGGCGCATACGTCTGCTGGGTCTACAAGTGGCCCTTAACAAGACGAGGGCCATCTCTTTTCATGGCCCACGACGAGGAACAAGAGAGGAGCTCAAAGTCCTGGTAGAGGGGGTCCTAATTTCTGTCGAGGGGCATGTGAGGTACCTCGGCCTTACGCTGGACTCTCGGTGGAGCTTCGTGAAACATTTCGAGCTCCTAGCTCCCCGGCTGTGCGCCGCCGCAGCCAGCTTAGGTCGGCTCCTTCCCAACGTGGGAGGGCCCAATACAAAGTGTCGTCGTCTGTATCACGGGGTGATACGGTCGATGGCGCTATACGGAGCACCGGTGTGGGCTGAGTGCCTCAAACCCCGCACGCGAGCCCTTTTGTGTAGGCCGCAAAGAATAATCGCGTCCCGAGCTGTGAGGGCATATCGCACGGTGAGCCACGGGGCGGCCTGCGTACTGGCGGCCATGCCTCCTCTGGACATCGATGCACTTGTGCTTGCGGAGGTGTATCGAAGCAGAGTTGAGGCACAACAGCGGGGTGGAGCGCCTGCTCTTGTAAACATAGAGCAGGCCCGAGTAGAGGCCCAGAGAGAGGCACTACACCGGTGGCAGGAGGCACTTGCCAATCCCACCGCTGGTCACTGGACGATAGAGGCTTTTCGTCCAGTATTAGTGGAGTGGGTGGGGTGCCAACGGGGCAGCCTAACCTTCCGTCTGGTGCAGATCTTGACTGGACACGGTTGTTTCGGTCACTATCTGCACCGGGTGGCAAGAAGAGAGGAGACGCCGCAGTGTCACCACTGCGGCGATCCCGACGATACTGCCGAGCACACATTACTAATGTGTCCGGCATGGATAAATGAGCGCCGTGTACTCACTGCGGCGCTCAGCGGGAGGATCCTGTCGCTTCCAAACATGGTGAAAGCTATGGTTGGAAGCCAGGAGGCTTGGGAGGCTGCTGCTTGCTTTGCCGAAGCAGTAATGTCTGCGAAGGAAGCTGCGGAGAGGGAGCGGGAGGAGGATGCTCTAGCCGCTCCCCTCCGGCGTAGACGTACGGGTCGGAGGAGACGGGTGAACCTGTAACCTTCGACCTGGAAGTTCGACCAGCCTGCGTCAAGTGGCACTGATGCAGGCATTGCACATGGTCAACACGTCTGGGGATTATCTCGGCTCTCCCGGGTAATCCCCCATCGGCGCGGTAGCCCGGCACAGTAGCTGGGCAGCCCGGGGGTGAATTGGTGAATTGCAATAGCAGGTCCCAATTTGCCCCCAAATACGGGCAGGAAGGGAAGCCGGGGAGTTTTAGTGGGTATTCCCAGGGCCAACAACATCAGGCTCTGGGCGACCCCCACACAAGTCCCACTGTCGAGCCAGGGCAGTGGGTAGTCTGTAAGCGGATTTCTCCCCGAAAAAAAAAAAAAAAAAAAAAAAAAAAAAAAAAAAAAGGGTATCCACGCGATCCGTAATTAATTACATAACTTTTGGTTAACTTTACTTAGAAGTTTATTAATATTTATGTTATATTAATTTTTATTTTGTCATATATGATCGTCAACTACCACGTCCTTAAATATTGATAGTAACTCACCAGTCACCCTGTATATTATTTATCAAAAGTAGCTCGCGGACGTGTAGGGATGGTACAGCAGATAATTGTTCAATATTTGATACAATTTATCTTTGAAACAGATCCTATGTGGCGCGTAATTAATGAGAGTGTCGGGACAGTCGCACCAGGCGGGCCACAGGTAGTCGGTTCGACTCCTGGGCAGGCTGTTCATGTTGGTATATCTGGTATAGTCAGAGTATCCGCTGATCATGTTAGGAACCGAATAGCACCTGTGTATAGGGATCCGCGCGAGGCTTCCCGACATCATGGAACTCCTGGCAGCGTGGACACACATACAGAATCATATTAGAAATTATTAACGTAATATATAAATATTCCTTTTCATATGTAAGGAGAATAATTATTATCTGTCTAAACATTTTTTTATATTATCTATCAATTGTTAATATACGATGAAGTGTAACCGTTAGAGTGTGAAAGAGAGACAGATGCAAGATTAGTCATTGTGTGAAAGGGATCGAAAATAGAATAGGTTCGCTAAGAAAAGGATGCAAAAATAAAGACAGTATTAAAATGTCATTAGTAGTTTTAATGCGTTTACACACAGATTGATAGTCGAGTAGACAAGAAATTAAAAGTTATTATAATGAAAGTTTTTAGATATTACGATAGAATCTTTCATATACCTTATAGTTCTGAGGTAAATAGTAATACTCACGAGTCGTAGTGGTGTGGAGGGCGGAGTCTCTCTCTGTCGGGGTGCATGGCTCGCTCCAGGCGTCCCGCGCGCTCATCTCCCTCCCCGCAGAGCTGCAACTGAACAACACCCTGTATATATAACCTGCTACACCTCGAACTACCCTCCAACACAACCATCCAACCGAACACAAACGATGGATAAATACTGATTTTGATATTTGTATTTAAATCAACTACAATCGTGTGTGCTCGGATATACGGATACTGGAAGCGGGGGGGGGGGAGGAACGATCCTAACTACTCCTAGCACCGGGAACGGAAACAATCAAGCTTGGAGCGACAATACTACGTGATACGTATATGTTAAATATAATTAATATATATCACACATAATAAAATAATGTTTACATCAATGGTGACTATTGAGTGCAATACATAATAGGGGCTGCATACATCCCCAGTGATCTGGTAAATATATAAGCGAATGCCCTGTACTATGAAAGCTGTTAGGACTGCTTCGAGCGATTAGCGATTTGTATACAGGGGGTGAACGTAGTACAGGGTGAGTAGATATGTGAGCAGTCTTTGGGGTGGGGGGTGGACCGACCTGGCTGGTAGGCAGACTCTCGGAGGCAGGCGGGCGGTAGTGAGCGTGAGCCGGAGACATTGACGCCGGCGCCTGACACACACACACGCTCACTTACTGACTCACATAACCGATTACTACTACCTTATATGTTTATCGACTGATTAAAGAAAATCAATCGCATACTTGGTATAGATAGAGTAAGACTGAATGACGTTTGTAAAGATTATATTAAACTAGAAGACCCAGCGAACTTCGTATCGCTCTATAATCAAGAAATATCTGTTACGTTTTTTTGTTTTCATTTTTGGAGTTTACCTATTAAAGCCATAAATCTCCGTGTTTTGAAGTGCGACAAAATGATTGACATATTAGTTAGTTGTCAAATCTAATGTCAAAAAGAAAACGTTTGTATCAACAACTACTAATAAATTAAAAATTAATTAAAAAATAATTGTCCAGCGGACAACTCCCAGATCCCCTTGAACACACAAAAAATTTCTACGAAATCGGTCCAGTCGTTTGAGAGAAGTTCAGTGACATACACACTCACAGAAGAATTATATATATAAAGATATCTCGTGTTTGGGTTTCACAGTGTAATTCATATCTTATATGTTCCCAAGACTTATTATTTGTATGTGAAGTGTACTCACAGTGTGATACTTGTGATGGTTGGGTCTGGAGGGCGAGGCGGCCGGCGGCGGTGACTCCGCGCGTCGGGACACCACGTTCATGTGTTCGTAGCTACCGACCTGCGGAGACAGACACACACATTAATATATCTTACAGCTATAAACATCACAAAAATTAATATATGCGTAAATTAAATTGTGTATTGTTTAGAGACCGAAACTTGAATGATACTGGTAGGTATAGTCCAGGATCCATGGCTGTTTTTTGCACTTGATTACTAACAAGCTAATTTTCCGTCAGTAGCTTCGTTTCATCGAGACGCCCAACTTTTCCCTTTGCGATATTTTTGATTGTGCTAGCTAACTTAGCTAGCACCGTTAAAAAATTTTGATTTGATAATTTTCCAAAACTTAATACTAACTGGATTTATTTATGTTAAATCTATGATAATTATCTAAATTATTCGAAAAACAAATTGTCCTAGAAAATGTATGGTTTGACAAAAAATCCCCCTCCTTTCAACATGTATAGATAACGAGGTCATCGAAAGTGATTACTAACCAGCTGATTTTTTTTATTTACTTAGTTAATATTTATATAATTTAACAGTAACATTGTCCTATAAGTTCTTGGGACGTAATCCTGGTCCTACGCTTAAAAGTAGTAGTCCAAGTCCCGCTCACCCGTGACTCCAGCTCCTCGGCGCGCGCCTCGGTGCTCTGTTTCTCCTCCTGTATGAGTCTTATCTCCGTGTTGATCGCGTCCAGTTGTTCCTGCAGCATCAGCGCCAGCGCCGCCGCATCCGTGTGTCCTTCAGCACCTTCAGACTCCTCGTTCTGGAAGATTAAATATCCTTCAATTAATACAACCTTACTGAAGTTCTGTTTTAATATCAGTTTATTGATCTTATCCTACTAATATTATAATTGCGAAAGTTTGTGGGTGTGTGTGTATGTTTGTTACTTTTTCACGCTCAAGCGGCTGAACCGATTTCGATAAAATTTTGTATACAGGAAGCTGACGTCCAGGAATGACAGATAGGCTACTTTACATCCCGGAAATCCGCGGGGCGCAGCTAGTAAGTAATGAAGTATTTTTTTTGTATGTTAGTTTAGTTCATCAAGTTGTCAGTACCTCAGCATCACTAGTGTCGAATGGTGGCCCCAGTACGTGAGCCTGTTGCAGCTTCTCCCACGACCCGTCCAGCTGGAAGAAATTTAAATAACCTTTATTAATCGTCTATATGTATGTATATATATGATATGAGTTTTGATATATTTACCTATAAACGACCTAAAGTTGTCTAAAAATAAGTTTCACTAAGACAACTTCGCTCTATAAGTAACATTTTAGAAGTCTGTCTTTTCTTATTAATTTTTGTAATTATATGTAATTATGTATGAAGTCATTATTGTTGTATGTATCAAAAGTATCCAGCGTACATTTTTAATTGATATAAAAAAGTTTAAGATCATTTACAAGTATGATACAAATTTACGACGTAGCTTTTGACTTGTAATTTACAAGTGTTACTTTAAATTTAAATCCCTACTAATATTATAAATGCGAAAGTAACTAACCTAACCTAAACCACTGAACTGATTTTAATGAAATTTGGTACAGACATAGAGTTGACCTCGAAAAAGAACATAGGATAGTTTTTATCCCAGACTTTTGAAAGGTTCTCTTGGAAACGCAATATAATCGAACTCCACGCGGGTGAAGCTGCGGGCGGAAAGCTAGTATTAAAATAAATTTATTTTATTGTCTATGATGGGCGTCTTCATGGAGTGAGTGTCGAATATCAAGCAGGCATTTAATGAGTGACTAAGTATCTGTTCAATAGATATTTCTATCACTTCCATACCTTAGCTCCATACATGTTTGTGGGAGGCTGGGCGGCCGCTGGTGACAGTGATCTCGTCAAGGCATCTGTCTGCTGGATGTTGAAGGCTATCTCTGCTTGCAACATCTGGCGCTTCAACTGAAACAGAGTTGTATAAAAAATTATTGAATGAACTCTATAAACATGTGGACCTAATAATATAGAATATACGTTTGGATTTCGCTGTCTAAAGTTATTATATAATACTGGCTTGATAATTATAAAAATATTAGTATTATAAAGGATTTTATTCTTATATTATATTCATTGACAAACAAAGGATTTTTTGAAGTAAGAAAATATTTGATAGCTTCAAGGAAAAGTGTAAGAAATAAAAATAACCAGACCAACTGACAGACGCTCACATCTCGTCTGCCCGTGATCACGGTTGCTGAAATGTAGCCTAAACGTCGGGAGTATGTAGTTTGTAATCAAAAATAAATACGCGAATAAATCCGAAAATATTCGTTTCATTTAAATGAGTACTCGCGAAAATCTTAGATCTCATTAAAGTGTAAAGTTCATGGTACTCTGCAATTAGGAGATAAAGTGAATATAAATTAAGAAGCAATTATACAGAGTAACATGTAGTTTTGCCAAAGAGGGTTGATGTCAGACAGGCGGGCGGTCGTAAGAACAATTAGCCAAAACTATTCACAACATGTAAGGCAGACCCTGGTTATAGCTGGGTAATTGCCAGGTAGAAGATACAGAGTAACATGTAGTGTCAACAACAGTAGCTACCTGTTCGGTTTCCATTCTCCACTTAGCCAGTTCCTTGAGTATGTCTGCCTTTTCCTGTAACAGTTCATCAGCGTACTTCCTAGTCTTCTCAAGCTCCTGAGTGAGCGCGTTCTTTTCATCCAAGGCGTGCATACGCTCTTTCAAGTGGACTTGTAACCTGCGGAGAAAATAATGAAATATAAAACATATTTTTTTAAATAAACTTTATTGACTTAATTACATTACAAGTTGCAAGGTTGATATACTAGGTGCAAACCTGTATTACTGGGTGCCCAATTACTAAGACACCTCCCATAGATTTGTCCTTTAAAAATATGTATTTTGTGTAATAGAGTGTTTTGTATCATCAATGCAGTGCAAAAATACTGTCACAATATTTATATGAAACTGTTAATAACACAATCTCTCAAGATGTGTGTATTGTGATATGGAGACTCTTTAGGAGTTACTACATATCACATGACGGCGCTGGCAGGCGACAACAAAGAAATTGAATTAAAATAAACTCAAATAAAAACGGATTAAAAAGAATTAAAGAGAAACACGTTCAGTTTGAATGAATAAGGCTTGCCATCGCATTAGATAGATAGAAGCAGTTTAAATTATACATATAAAACGATCCCGAAGGTTTATTGAGGTTTTACAGTATATAATCTAACCTATCGTTAGATTCAGACAGTAGCTTGTCGACGGTGGCGGAGAGCCTCGTGTTGTGTTCTTCGTTCATCCTCAGTCGTTGGTTGAGTCTCATCAGTTCAGCGTTCTTTTCCTCCACACTAGCCTCAAGCCTCTGAATGCGGTCCTCCGCCGAGCCGTGCCTCTCTTGAGCCTGCGGGAGAGAGGAATTTACAGAATACACGCTTATCATACAAAAATATGAATTAATATTCAAATAAATTATTAAAAAAAAAACACCGAAAATAGATATTTTATGTAAATTAATTTGAAGGTAGTTTCATATTAAGTCAGTTCCGATGTTTTTTGAACGTCATTTATTTGAATCTAATTCACGTTATGCTCAGCTTCTAGTTATGACATGTTAGTCAGTTAGTTCTGGTCTACATCGAAGCTCGTGAGGTGACTCCTGACCTGGCTGAGCGCCTCCATCCTCGCCTTGAGCTGTTCCTCCATTTCTGGCAGTGAGGACATCTGGGCCAGCTTCTGCGTGGAAAGTTCCAACTTCTCCTCTATGGCAGCTATCTTCTCTTCTTGAAGCTGCAATATCAATGATCACGTGATATGGTCCGCGTCTAACGTACGACATGCGAGTGCTGTACGTAACTAATGGTACCTCACAAGTCACACTCGGTTACTACCAATGGATTTGAAGCTATCTGTTTGGACAAATTCACAATCGAAACGATATGGGAATTTGTCGAAAAGCTGATGATTTAACAGAAAAAGCACGGACGAGTCAAATGAATTGATGAAAATTCAAAATTAGGTGGACGTTAATTCTCATGTCACGAAGAAAATGTTAAATCTCTACTAAATTTTTTTTTCCAAATTTTCCAATTAATTTGCATTCATTAATGAATTAAATTGTAGTAATTATATTATAGCAGTACATTAATGGTTTATTTTCTGTTTCTTAAACAGTCCTTTATTTAAGTTAATTTTAAAATCACACACCAATTTAATTTTATTCTCTTTGTTTTTATTCATAATTAGAAGAAGCTCTTAATCTTTGGGGACAGGAATTCTTCATTTGATATCTCCCAGATCAAGATCATTCATAGCCGTCAAATTTCAAAACCGATTTCCTATTGAAGTTAATTAAATTAGTTATTGGTTATATTGATTAGGAACAAAACAACAACATAACACAAAAAACAACATAATTTGTGTATGAAATGAATTAGAATGTCTATAGCAGGTGTGAGAGCACACAGAAACAGAACATAAAAGCAACAATGTTTATTGTTGAATGTGTGTGTGTGTGTTAGTTTGTGTTCAGGTGTATGTATGTGGGTGTGAGTGTGTGTGTGTTTTTCATGCTATACCTTAAGCTGCGCCTGCTTGTGCTGTAACTCTTGTTCCAGCTTTTCATTCAGGTCGTGTAAGGAAGTGGACTCTCTTTGAGCATTCAGATATCGTTTCTCTAATGTGGCTATGCGCTCCTCCTGAACACAAATATAATAATACATACAATCATATAAAATTTAATATTATTTACCTGGAAGTTTATAAAATATGTAAGGAGTTATAAATAATAATGATACACCAATCACTTATATTTTTGACTGTGGACAAGATTTCAATCTTTTTAGAGATAAAAACCTCAATGTTCATTATTCAAAATTTTTGTGATTTATAGTAGTTCTTATTTTCTACACATGTTGTCCTTTTAAGACTATAACAATACTATACTTTCTTCTGCAACAAAGTTTTTTTAACATTCTCATGACTGAGTTACCCATTTTTATAAAAAATATTTTGCGCTCTACTTTCCCTTCTACAATTTTAATACATTAGAATTTAAACACATCATGAATCATTCACATTTAAATTTACTCTTTTAATGAATTACATTCCTCAACTTCTTGCAGCTTAAAGCTGAGAGTTGAGAACTACCCTACTATTAATACTACTACTACTACTAACAGTAGTTAGTCTATCTCATCTCTACCTGATCTTCCTTCTGAGCCACATTCTCTCTTAAATCTCTCTGTAGTTTCGCACACTCTTCCTGTTTCTTGACCAGTTCCTTCTCTCCTTTACTCAATCTCTCTTCTAATTCCGTGACCTTATTGTTCAGTTCGGCGACCCGTCTCTGCCACGAACTCAATTCCGCCGACTGAAAGTATTAATATTACATTTTAATAGATAGATAATGAAAAGTACATATATACTATATAAATCGGAAGGTATATTCCTATTTGGGTTGTTATGAAGATGTATATAGCATGTTTTTAATAATAATATTAAATTAAAGGTCATGTGAGTTACTTTTATATTATGAATGGCAACAATTGTATATTAATTGTTGTTTAAAAATAGTTTTCTACTGGGAGTATAGATGGCGTGACTTGTATCACGAGTGTGATACATACATTTCGGGTGCATACTTGTTAGTGATAACCTAATTATTCTCACGCTGAGTATAAGCTGATGATGTTCATGGGGTATTCTAATACCAATGAAGCTTTGTTATTATTTTTAATACTATTAATTAAGCGACTAACTGGAAAATATAATATACCCGCTTCTCTGATGTCTACGTACAAGTGGGTATATTATATTATTTGGTATGCATGCAGCCTGGGACGACGTCATCACTAATATATGTACATCTGTCTATCATGCATGAACTACGAGGTGTATATATGTTGTAACTCTCTCCATTATATATATTATATATATGTTACTAAGGGCATGCGGGTCGTGTGTATGTATGTTGGTCATCGTGGTGTAATGTTACAATGTAGCGTCTGACCTGCTTGGCGATAGTGTTTTGAAGTTCAGTGACCTTCTTGACGTCCGTTTCGCCGTTAACACTACTTTGTTCCTGTGACCACCAAATTTATATATAAATTGGCACCACACCCCAATTAAATATTTTGTTTATTTTACTGTTTTAATGTACTTATGTGCGTAATTAGTTGTCGGTGCATCAGTTTATCAGAATATTAATTCATGATCTGTTTTCATGTTAAAGTCCTTGTAAATAGTAAACTACATGCCATCTAGATTATGTGTTCTTAGTCTTCAATGAACGGACTCCCTGTCTCTCTCGTCATTATTTTAACTTTTTTATTTTTTTATTTTTTAATATATTTGTTCTAGTTTTCTGTTCGAGTGAGTCAGGAAGCCGTCACCCAGTACTATGAGCAACATTTATTCGTCTAATATCTGTTACACATCTAATACATAACATCGTCTATACATCATTCCCGAAGCGTCCTATCAGAGACAGTTCATTACAGACAAGTTCAATAATTAAATAAATTAAATAAAATTTAATCCGTGTCAGTACTCACATAACTGTATCTAATTGTTCTAGTTATTATTTTTTATTTGAACATCTCTGGTTTTTATAATTACATGTAAAATTAAATTTTCTTTATACAAATTCTCTTATATTACATATAACATCGTTGTTTTATACGTTCGCATGCACTTGTTTGTATGTGAATGTATGTGTGTGTGTGTGTCTGTATATTCTGGTCGTGTGTGTGTGTGTGTGTGTGTTACCTTGGGGGGTTCCCCGTTCTGTTCGGGCGAGCCGGTGGTGGTGGTGCCATTTTCTTTGGGCTTGTCGCCTTCCTGGGCACCAGATGATTTATATTGCTGCAACTGAAACACAACAAAATAATATGTTAACATATAAAAAACATAAATTGTTTAATATGTACTTATTTAGTAATAAGAAACCTTTATTTTGTTGTCTATTGTTTTGTCTGAGCTAACATATCGACTGTACATAATACATATATTATTTATAAAATACATATGTACATTTTCTTCAAATATCGAAGATTATTATTAATAAGTCAGCTTACAAATAATTTGAAGTCTTTTAGTATTTAATATATATTTATTTGTCAATAATTTTTAATTAATGTAATTCAATTGAACATTCTTTACTTTAATGTTATAATTATTTGTATTCCGTCCACTGTTGTACACAACTATACTATATTTTTGAAGTTAAATGTATTATATTAATGACGTGTGATATGTTACCATATCTATTTTATGTATCACCTCCGAGGAGATATAGATTAGGAAAAGATTATTTTAATGAGAGAGGAAAAGGAGAGATGGTCTCAATATTAGGGTATGTGGGTTGGAAGTTTAATATGTCTTTGTATATTTTATGTCGTTCATATTAATCAGTACTAACGTCTTCTCATCACTCACCTCTTCTTTGGTCAGCGCCAATTCCTCTTCCAGAGCTGTATTCCTCTCTAACGCAACTCTTAATCTTTCTCGAACCTGGAACGTAATGTTCAATATTTATTCACTGATACTATAAGTCCTTTGGTCATTTTATGTAGCAAGTTTTTAAGATATATGATTTGCATTTATATAAAAAATCTTTATGACTGTTTCCTAAATCTTTATATATGTATATAATTCTTCTGTGAGTGTGTATGTCACTGAACTTCTCTCAAACGACTGAAACGATTTTGATGAAATTTTTTGTGTGTGTTCAAGGGGATCTGGGAATGGTTTAGATTTACAATTTTGTCCGCTGGATAATGTTTTTTAATTAATTTTTAATTTATTGGTAGTTGTTATTACAAACTTTTTTTTTGACAAGATTTGACAACTAACTAATATGTCAATCATTCTGTCGCAATTCAAAACACTCAGATTTATGGCTTTAATAGGTAAACTCAAAAATATAAATAAAAAACGTAACAGATATTTTTTAATTATAGGGCGATACGAAGTTCGCAGGGTCTTCTAGTATGGTATAATATAATAGTTGTTTCTAAAGTATGGAAGTATGTGTTATTTACGGACCTTCTCGTCTAAGGCCTTGTGGTGTTCGAAGAGACTCTTGAGGGCCTTTAGGACCTCCACCTCCGAGGAGACCCCGGACTGAGCGGCCGCCTGGCGCTTCACCACCGTCATGCGCAGAGAGCGCTCGTGCCTCGACACCAGACATTCTAGGTGCTCCAGTAACAACTACAAATAAAGATTACTATGATATAAATATGACAATATAATACGTATTGGTAGTCAAGGAAATCGATATTTATATAGCGAGGATATATTTGAAGTTCCCAAAAAGGCCAACGAGCATCCGGTACTTCTGATTGCGTGTGATTACTGAAGAACTGTGAATATTTGATTTCTTTCGGGTTTCTGTTTAAAGCCGTTGTCCGTATCTTGAAATACAATATGATTTTTTTTCATTGCTTACAAAATAAAATACAACTTTAATTATTTTCAATGTGTGTAGTATATAAGAGTAATTTAAACGCAGCCGTCGAACAAGTTTATCAATTATTAGTGCCAAGAATTTTCAATGTTCGGTCGAGTCTAGACGTGGCACTGAATACTTGATGTCATCGGCATCTCCCAGAAGGTGGCTCACCTCATGCCATAAACTACGGTTATATAGACTAGGCTGAAGTGTGTCATCTCCAAATATGAACAGATAGTCGCACAGCGGGCCAATTCCTAACAATTTGGGGCGTGTTTATTGCGGAAGTTCAATTGGGAATTACATCTGGAACGGCTCGTGGGCGAGGTGGGCTGTTAATAAAGTTTGATAGCTTGTATCAATGAACGGAACTCGATACGGTTATTGAGCGCCGATAAAACGAATATAAAGGAAACACTACAGATGAAAAGGTTTTTACGTGTTTTTATATTTACTGTAGGAGTTAGCGCGCTCACATTTGGGTTTCAAATGGTGTGTGTGTCTCGGAAGTACCCAATCAAAAGGTTTAATGTACTAAACATTGTTACTTACTCTGGTATTGTTTCTTTCCGCCTTGAGTTCCGAGATTTCCTCCTCCCGTTCCAGGAGTTGTTCCCGGGCCTGGTTGAGCTCCTTCGTGAGGGTCGCGAATTCCTGTAAATATTTATGATCATTAGAACGACGAATAGAATTATAGTTTTTAAATGAGAAACTTACAGCGGTAAAAGCTAGCCTCAGTCAACAGACTGAGCTGGTAATTTTTTTACGTCAACCTCATACAGAAAATGCAAATAAGGTTTTGGATAATTATGTATTTCATTATATCTTCAATACCCATTAGTATAACTATACACAATACACCTAGTGCAACACGTACAGTTAGTTGAGAGGCTGAAAGAAAGTTCATCACGTACCATGGAAAGACAAATATGTAGGTAGTATTATTGATTAAACAAAAACCATTTGCAACATTTCATTATCATCTACTGAACATATATTCTATCCTTATGTAATACTTTCGTTCCGTTAGAATTATAAATTTAAATTCCTCCTAAAAATACTAATAAGAAAAACATTTTTCATTTTCGTTTCTCGTTAAATAAGGAGCACGAGACATGTTCACGCACCCTTGACCCGAAAGCTAAAATAAGAGTTTCAATCAATAAATGATTCTTAAGAGCCATCAGACGTCCTCACGGTTGAGGCTGCTATCACGACGACGGATCACATCCACCCACCTCCAGCCTCCAGGGAAATACTGAAACACTTCTTCACAATACAGAGTTTTGGTTACGCCTTGATTTATAATACAATGTGCCTCTGAAGGGATAGATCACACATATTAGACATATATAGAGGTTTCAGTGAAATAAATCGTTTGAAGAGGAAAACATCAACTATTTTTATTCAAATCAAATCTTATTATTGAATTAATTAATATTTATGTAATCATTGAAAATTATATACATATACTATTAAAATAGTTTTAACAACAGGGATTACTTTTATTAGAATACTGTAATGATTGTTAAACGTTTTAAACAAATAAATTTATATTTAATTGTATAACCCTACATCAATTGTTTGAGTCTTCCAAAATGTATAAGAGGCTTAACAGTTTTCAGAGACATAGCGGTGTCGCACGCAACTCAGACTAATATATTGAACATAGTATGTATATGTCCTGTACATATAATATAGTATCAGTTCATCCAATAAAGAGTTGCGTTTGAGTTACGAGCGGAATGGCTTTGATATATCATATATGAGAGGTTGCACTTGACACGGCACTCGCTGTAATTGGCTACGTTTAAACTTAGTTTTTTATGAATATTTTCCCTCTCTATATAATAAATGTATTATATATTTGGGAGACTAAAAACTTGAATATTTTAAAGGTATTTACCCTGGAGCAATGGATGAACATTCATTGTTTATCTTTGTAAACTAAAAGAGATCCCGAACATTACACTAAAGTTAAATATTTAATTTTCTTTGCTTTATGTTATTTTAAAGGAACATGTATAAAAGGCGTTTTATTAATAGCTTATTTCGTTTTCTTAATACAATAATAATAATATAGTATGTGGAACAAGTTCATGATACAAACAGCTTCATTTCGTCGGATCAAATAAATTAGGTTGAAACTTTTTACTTTTAAACTCGTACGTGCATCAAATATAAATGTTCACATCTCAACACATATTTAGAAGATATAAGTTTTCTAGCGTTTGAAATGTGCCTGGGAAGACTTTAGTACGATGCAGAATAAAAATAATAATAGAAAAAATAGTAGATTTAATAAAACTTAAATAACAATATTAAATGAAAAATACTAACGTAAGGTACAGTCAGTCACGAAGCAATTAGAGAAATGAGTTGGAACAGACGACGTGTGTACACCGAGTACATTACTATTGATTTTGAAAATACGACAAAAAGTATCACGAAATCCTTACAACAATCATGACGAGTCATATGATTAAACAATAGTAACACTCTTTATAACGTTTCAATTTACTTTCTTTCTACCTGGCAATTTCCCAGCTTTAGCCAGCGTCTGCCTTACATGTTGTGAATAATTTTGGCTAATTGTTTTTACGACCGGCCGCTTGCCTGACATCAACCCTCTTTTTGGGAATAATATTTTACTGTTTAGGTACAACTTAAATTATTCTCTGATATTCACGATCTAAATTTAATATTCCTTTGAATATGAAAATGAATTATTTTATATAAGTAATATGCAATGGACCATAATTCCTCGACAAGACCCCCCTCCTCCCTTTTACCCCCCACCTGTCTTCTACCCCCCACGGAGCTCGTTCTGAACAGTCCACATAGCGACAGTGTCATCGTTTACAGATCTTATTAATTCTATTTGCTTCATTAAGGATATTTCATTGTTTTCGATAATATCACATCATTTTTGTTAGTCTATTTACATATTATACTGTGGCGGCCAGGACGAGAGCTGTGGCTTTTCAATTATCGGGAACGAAACACTATCGGATATAAGCCGAATCAATTTCCGGTTTTCACCAAAAAAAAAAAAACCTATACCCATGGCGTTCCGATTGAAAATATTCGATTCGGCTGTGGGAAGTTTGTTCAGAAAAATACAATTTCAGTATGTAATAATGGTAATTAAATTAAAATCCTCTTAGTTTCTGAGGATGTATGCATGTTTTATGGTCCTTCACACAAACTACTAAACAAAATATGATGAAATTGTACAGTAGTATAGTTTAGAAACTAGAAAAAGATAAAGGCATCTACAATTTATTCCGAAATTACGTGAAGTGACACCAGGATCGCGTCATACCAGTTATATTGTGTATGACGTCACGTGACACGGACTACAGATGTCACAGTCTATTGGTTATCGTATCAGTTATTTTACTACCCACTATACATTTCTCTTTGAGTTTAATTCCGAAGAACTCAGACAGAGTCACAGAAAAAGATTATATAAAAGTAGAGAGGGAAATGTCCGTCCTTGTATGTTTATGACGTCCTTGTATCGTCCTTGTCAATGCTTATCAGTGTAACAAGTTTAAACAATTGACGTTATCACAGTATTAACTAACACAACTTTCATAGCACGGATTAGTACATATGTTTTAATCATAGTACGATATTATTTACGTCATATGTATATTACTAATCAAACTTAAATATAAACGGGGACATCGTGTTATATATGAGAGTCGAAAATTCGACTACTGTTTCTATAATAGAGGTAGAAAGATTTCTAAAAGCGTACTGCGGTTGACCCCGCCTTGACTCCGAGTGTTTTTTCATACGAGTACCTGTTAGAGCAACAGCTGCTGCATAGAATTAGTTAACAGGGCTCCCCTCGGCCTTCGCCCCCCGGACACACATCAAACGATTGTCGTACCTTGACTTCCGACAGAAATAAGCACGTCCTTGGCGAAAATGGCTTGAGGTCGCGCACACGACTTAAAAACATCTCAGGCTTATCTTTATTATGTATATTTTTAGAGCATTTTCTATTATTTAAAGTTTTCTCTTAAAGTCGACATTTCAACTAGTCTATCTCATAATTGTGTGCCTGCAATAGTCAGATCGGGGGATTTGTTTAATTCTCGTCAGCGGTATCTTTGAGAATATAAAAGAGAACAAATACTTTTCAGTTCTCATAAACATTACTACCTTTGTTTCATTCTTAGGGAAACAAATATCAGTCATAGCATATGCGAATTTAATTATTCGCGTGACCTTGATAAAGTTAGAGAACACATGAGATGTAAGCTTTAATACGATAAGGGTAGTTTCAAGGAGTTGTTTTGTATTGTAAATAAACGTTGTAGGGAGGACGTCTGTTTGTTTGAGGATCACCGCCGGCTGTTTCTCAACTAGCAATCTGTAGAGTAACTTTAACTAATATACGTTCGATGTACGAAGAGCTGCCAGTTACAGCACTTTTATGTGTGTTTAGATATAATCGATGTTCATTTGAGTGAACAAAGTTCAATAACTTTTGTAATTTAAGTATTCTAAACATCTTCGCGTGTTCGTTTCCTTTGTTTCGTGACTGACCTGCAGTAGTGTAGTGTGCAGGGTGCACGTGCAGAGCTCCCCGTTCCTGCGCGTGCAAGGAGCCCCCAGCAGTGCGCAGGCGCCGCCCCCGCCTCGCTGCATGCCCTCCGAACATCCCTCGTCCACCCCCACACTCACACCATACTACTTATCGTCCTTATCACCATGCTCCTATCACTCATAACGCAACAGGTCCCTCATAATCTATGCGACACTTTCATTATGATCCGTGTCCATTGTACATATGTATGTAGTAGGCAATCGTTATAAAAGATATTTGTTAATTTGAGCGGCTTCAGGACATGTCAGTATGGTTAGGCTTCTGTTCGTCAGTAGGTCTGTGTGTCACGTGTCATATAGCCAGCGTCGAAGGTCGCGCATCATGAGCCGAGCTCGTAAACAGAGTCAATTAGACGGTAGCTGTCTCCAGGGAGAGTACGGACTACGGGTCGCCTTCATTACGATACACTTTAAATACATTTATTAGTCCTGAGTGAGTCTAGCATTGAGCTCTGGAGATCATCACTAAATGAAAATAACATGTATAAGCATATGAACGGCTGCCAAAGATCTTATGAGCTTTGGTGTGGTTTCAATTTGTGTAGTAGGAGCTGAACTTAATCTTGATAATGGAACGTTGACCTACTATAACGTTAATATTAAATTTAATAAAACATTAAACAATTCTATAAAATAAATATGTTCGACTTGAGATTTGAAGGATAAGCTTAAATATTGACAAACTAGAGAATGTATTTACCATTCTTCAATTATTATACATAGAGATTTGTATATTGTAAAAACTAGTCTAGAAAGAAAAACTTAATGATAAGACAGTAAGTAACAGACATACTGGACGGTCGGTTAATTTTTCACATACACACACGCATATGTACATATATATGTGTGATCCTGTTCACTACTTAGTGTACTTAATCACAGTATAGCTGATACCATTAAAATTTTTCCCATAAGACGTAATTTGTAGTAGTAGCCTAGGTACCAATGATGGGTAACAGATACACAATTTAATATAAAAACACGTTATCCTGCGTATAATTTGTAAGTGCAATCTTAATAAACAATCGAGT